AAATAACCAGCCGGAAAGGGCGGGGGGAGGGGGACTGGATTTCAGCAGCTGGCCTGATCAGAACCAGATGTGGGATCAGGACCAGATGTGCTGGCCTGGCCCAGCCCTGGGGGAGCCAGATCAAGCTTAACTCTACCTCTTCCCCTTCCCACCCCCCCAGTCTTCACGGAGGAAGTGCGTCTTCATACATCACCACACCTGAGAGCAGGTGAGGCATGGGGACCACCCCAGGGAGGGTGGCTGGAGGGCCCCTAGGACCCCAAGGTGGGGGGGCAGCCACACTGACTCAGTGCTTTACCCGTAGCAAGGCTTCTTGACCCACTTGGACACTGAAGCTGCTGATGGCGGCTGAGCCGCTACCCCTCGGGGCGGGGGCCACAGGGCCCCTACCCAGCTGGGAGCTGGAGGCCTGGTACGAGGACCTGCAGGAGGTGCTGTCCTCGGAGGAGACTGGCAGGCAGCCCCAGGTGCCTGGGGTAGCTGAGCAGGTAAGTGCCAGGCCTGGGGTGGGTGGACTATGCCACTTCCATCCCACCTCCATCCCCAGTCACCCCGTGTGTGCCCGCAGGAGGAGCTGAAGGACCTGGCCACGCTGGACACCACAGCTCTGCTATGGGGCCTGGACACGCCGGTGCCCGCCGAGACCCCTGAGTTGGACGCTGAGCTGCTGGAGCTGCTGAGCGTGACAGCCCCCATCCCTGCTGGCCCCCTAGGCTCCGACTCCAGCCTCAGCTCCCCGGCCCACACAGGCCCCGAGGATGAAGAGGGGGGTGCTGGATGCCGGCGGGGCGAGCAGCTCGTGGGAGGCCGGGCACGGCGTGGCCAGCGGGAGCGGGAGCAGGAGGCAGAGCGGCGCGTGGCTGAGTTGACAGCGCAGAACGCGCGGCTGCGGGCTGAGATCGACCGCCTCAGTACCCAAGTGGAGGCCACGCGGGCTGCCCTCATTGAGCGCATGGTGAATCTCCGGCAGGCCTAGCACCCAACGGACAGACCCTGGCATGGCCTGGCCCCTCCCATGGACCCCTGCCATGGGGCAGCAGACTGAAGGCCCCTGTGGGACATGTTTCCCCACCCCCCCCTCCTGCCAGAGCTGGGTGCAAGCGCAGGCACTAGGAGCTGTATTTATTGTACATATATATCACTCTTGGATCCTGGCTACCGCCTCCTGCTGTCTCGTGGGGGGGGGGGGCCTGTGCCTAACCCCCTCCCCTTTATTTCTTTCTCTTGCCCTTAGGGGCAGGGGGCTCTGGGGGACGCCCTTCCACCAATGCCAACTGCCTCTTCAGCTCTAGCAGCTTGGCCACCTCTCTGTCGATCTGTCCCTTCTCCACCTTGGCAGCTTTCAGCTCCCGCACATGGGTGCCCTGGGGGGACACAGACTGTATGAACCTCTGTGTGTGGAGGGAGGGGGGGGACTATGTGCTTAGGGTAAGGGAAAGGGGCACTCACCTGCTTAGCCACCTGCTCGCTCAGCTCCTTCACCTTCTGGAGGTCCACACCAGGTGGGGGCTTGGGTGGGGCAGCTTTAGCCTGCAGGGGGGCATGAGTCACCCCCAACACACAGCTTTCCCCTCCCTGTGCTTAACTCCATGCACTGTTACCCCCCACCCCCACCAAAATGGACCTGGCCCTGCCCCCTGGAAAGCAGATGGGGGCTTTACCTGGGGCTCTAAGGCATCATCTTCAGGCTGGGAGAAGAAAGAGGAGTGAAGCAGAGAGAGCAGAGCAGAAAGGAAGGGATGCTTCCCTAGCCCCCAGCCCCTGCTGCCAGGGTACAGACACCCCAGGCACCAGCCTAGACTGATGAGACCAGAGCTGAGGAGCAGAAGAGGGCGGGGTCCTGGGGCAAGCCCCATGTTAGTGAAGGGGGCACTCACCTGCCCACCCCCAAAGCGCTTGCGCAGGGCTTCCACCTGGTCATTCTCCAGCTTCTGGAACAGGGGGGTCACCTGGGTGGGGGAATGAGGATGTTAACCCTCCATGTACTGTAGCCCTTTCACTGCAAGCCCCCCTCACTCTATATATACCGTGCCAATGCGGTGCCCAGGGGGCAGGGTGCAGACGAAGGCGGATGGCAGCACACAGCAGGCAGGAGGGGCGCGCAGCTGGTCCTGGATACTGGCGCTGATGCTGGGCATGTAGGGCTGCAGCATGATGGAGAGCAGGCAGGCCATGTTCACTGCCACGCCCGTCACTGTGCTTGCCCGGCCCCTGCAAAGCAAGGGGCACTCAGTGCTGGCCTCAGGCACAGCCAAATCGGTGGCCCTCCAGGGCAAGGGGAGCTGAACCTCCTACCTGTCAGCATCGTTGCCCTTGATGCGCTTCCAGGGCTCATTCACCTGGATGTACTGGTTACCATGGCGGGAGATGTTGAGGACACAGCGCAGAGCATCCCGGATCCTGCAGGTGCATGGGATAGGGTGAGGCCAGAACCCAGAGGAGGGGACCAGAGGAGACCCACCCACCCCCGCCCCCCCCAGCACTCACCGGACCTTGTCCAGCAGCTGTGTGTAGCGGCGCAGCTCCAGGCCCACCCGTGCCAGCAGCCGCTTGTCATCGGAGCTCAGCTCCATCTCTGGCACGCAGCCCCCAAAGAACTTGCACACAAACATCCCAGCCCTGGGGGAGAGGACAGCCCATGAGCCCTGCCCAGCCCAGTCCCCCACGCTGCCGCTGCCCCTGCCCCCCACGGTCCCCTCATCACCGGTTGACGAAGTTGCCCAGGTTGTTGAGCAGCTCGGAGTTGTTGCGCAGCAGCAGATCAGCCCAGGAGAAAGCGCTATCCTGGCCCTCAGGCCGCAGCGATAGCAGGTAGAAGCGCCAGACGTCAGCTGGGATCCCCGTGTCCTCGGCCATGTCCCCAAAGACACCCACGCCACGGCTCTTGGAGAACTTCCCATCCTCATAGTTGAGGTACTCTACGGGGGGAGGAGAGGGTAGGGGGACCGAGCTGAGCAGGGGGCAGGATCCCCCTTCCCTGATAACCCCTCTACTTGGGGCAGAATTTGAACTGGGGGCTGGGCGTACCTGTGGCAACAAGGTGATTCACCAGGGTGTAGCCATCCTCAGCACCCAGCAAGGAGCAGGGGAAGACGACGCTGTGGAAGGGGACGTTGTCCTTGGCCATAAAGTTGTACAGCTCAACCTAGGGGGAGGAGGGAGATCGGGGCTCAGGGCCAGGGATCTGGGGTATCTCCTTCCTCTGCCAGCCCAAGCCCCAAGACTAGTTTCAGCCATGAGCCGGAGAGAACCCAGGAGGAGTCCCTGTGTCTGGCCACATCCCCCAGGGAAGGTCTCACCTGCTCAGGGTTCTTCCACCACCGCTCCCACTGGTCTGTGTAGTTGGCTGTGATGGACAGGTACCCAATGGGGGCGTCGAACCACACGTAGAACACCTGGGGGGAACATATGTGAGCTCTACCACATGGCACCAGAGCTCAGCCACAAGCTGGGTGCCCCCTCCCAGCACCCACCTTGTCACGGAAGCCATCCAGGGGCACAGGTGTGCCCCACGCCAGGTCCCGTGTGATGCAGCGTGGACGCAGCCCATCCCTGAGCCAGGAGCGTGTGATGAAGCGGGCATTAGCTGTCCAGTCCCCTGTGGCCCATGACTGCTCCAGCCACTGCTCCAGGCGCTGCTCCAGCTGGGGGCGGGGGGTTGGGGGTCAGCAGGGCAGGGCTGGGCCCAGATTCCTTCCCTGGGAACCAGGTGAACTCCCCCACCCCCAGTCCGAGTCTGAGGGGTGGCACTCACCTTGGGCAGGTCCAGGAAGAGGTGCTGGGAGGACTTCACCACTGGGGAATCGTGGCAGATCTTGCACTGAGGTCTCTGCCAGGGGCACAGAGCCATGAGCAGGGGTGGGAAGGGTGGCAGGCCCCAGCCACCTCCTGTATCCCACAATGCCCCTTTCCCAGGCCAGGAGGGTGACTATCGAGTGTCACGGACGGAGGGTGATGCACCCCCAGCCAGATGCACCCCAGGCCCATTCCTGAGACTCCTGACCCCCAAGGCAGCCACGGTCCCGTCCCATCCCAGCCCCACCTTGAGCTCAATGGCGTTGATGAGGCGGCCACACTTGTCACACTGGTCGCCACGGGCCTCCTCGTAGGCACAGAAGGGGCAGATGCCCTCCACAAAGCGGTCAGCCAGGAAACGCTGGCAACGCTCGCAGCGTAGCTGCTCCACCATGTCCGACCGCAGGAACCCGCGCTCCAGCAGGCGCCCGAAGATGTCCTGGGCGATCCTGGAGTTGGGGAGGGGGCGGCTGAAGGGGGCTGGGACCACCCCTGCCTGCCCCAGTGAGGCTGGGACCAGAGCCTCCCCTGACAGTGAAAAGGGGGATGCCCCAACCCAAAACTGAGGGCACCCTCAGCATAGACCCACCCCCGCCACGGGCTCCCTAATCCCCAACAGTATTTACTTGGTCTGCTGCGGTGTGGTGGTGCGGCCAAAGTAGTCGAAGGAGATGCCGAACCAGCTGTAGACGCGGGCGTGGATAGCATGGTACTTATCGCAGATCTGCCGAGGCGTTAGCCCCTCCTCCATGGCCTTGGTCTCTGTGGCCGTGCCGTACTCATCCGTGCCGCACACGTACAACGTGTTCCAGTTCCGCAAGCGGCAGTACCTGTGGGGGCAGGGGGCTAGCACATGCGGGCACCTTGTAGCCCCCTCTGGCCTGGGCACCCCTGGCATGAAGCCTCCCTCATAGGCTGCAGCCCAGGCTGGGGACAGGGACTGGGACAGGAAGGACACGAAGGTCCATCTGGTTCTCCAGGAGGGGCCCAAGGGGGCTGGAACCAGAGGTGGGGGGAACCCATGGGGCAAAGTCCAGGGGCTCCCTGAGAGTTCGGGTGCAGGAGGCTTGGTGGGCCAAGGGGACTGTGCCAATGCTCCTGCTGGGCATCAACCCTGAAGGGTCCTGCTCCTCCACTAAGGGTCAGGAAGCAATCATCCCCCCCAGTCAGACTGCTACAGACTGGAGGGGCTTTGCCTTCCCCTGTAGCAGGGAGTACAGCCCCCGCCTGGAGGCACTTCCACATGAGGAGACTTACGAGGCCAAGCCTGTTCAGCATCACAGAGAGCAGGAGAAGAGTTTACAACACCCTGAATGGCGAAGAGCAGGTCACTAGGGATTTATTCCTGACTGTCTCACCAGACAAGACCGCGGGGAAATGAGACCAGCAGGTTGCTAGTTTAAAACTAAACCCCGGGAAGTTCTTTTTCACCCCATGTGTAATGAAAGGGGGGATGGAAGGGACTTGCGGCAACCAGAGGTTGGGGGAGCTGAGAGTTCAGCCAGATTCCCAGAGCCTGGACCCCTTCTCAGAGAAGAGGGACATTGATGCAGATGCCGTGTCTATCCGTCCCAAGCTCAGTAGCTCCCAGAGTGTCCTGGGCCTCCAAGGCTGGAGGTGAGAAAGGAATAGGGGGGAAAAAACCTATGCTCAGACCCTGTCTTCCTTCCAGCCCCTGCTCTCCACCACTGCGCGACACAGGAGACAGGGAAAGTGGACCCAGGCTCTGATCCAGTACCCGACAATTATTTCTGGAGAACACATTAACAACTTTTTACAACAACAGGCTGCTGTGGCTACCTGCTTTCCCTGTGGCAGGGCCGAGCATGATGACTCGTGTCAGGTCAGAGCTGACTGGTTTTGCCACAAGTTCAGATCGCAGGACATGCCCGGGCTGGTTTACACAAGACTGATCCTGCCTTAGGCCAGGCTGGCACTGGTTACGGCCTCTGGAGCTCCCTGCCAGCCCTGCTTCTCTATGGCTCCATGTAAGGTGCCTGTTGCCAGAGCCCCATGCAGCCCCAGGGGGAAGTGCCAGCTGTGCCCCACAGGCCTGGGGACCCCGGGGCAGGTGCTGGGCAGGACCTTACCTGGCGAAGACGTCGGCACTGAGGACGCAGCCAATGATGTTGCCCAGGTGGGGCACATTGTTGACGTAGGGCAGCGCGCTGGTGATGAGCACATTCTTGCGGCCGGCCACAGGCAGCCTGGGGGGAAGGTGGGGGCCATAAGAAGTGGAGGGCTTGCCCCCCACATCCATCTATGCAAGCCAGCGGGGAAGGACACAAGGCAAGGGGGCATGTCCCTGCACCCATGCCCCTGGATACTCACACGGGGTGCTGGGGCTGCCAGGGTTCAGGCAGCGCGGCTGTGCCCTGGGCCCAGGCGTCGGCAGCCGCAGCGATGTCCTCCTCCGAAAGGGCATGCTCGGCTGACTCCTCCTCCTGTGGGCACAGGCAGCTGAGGGGCAGCACTGCAGACCGGCAAGGGCCCAGGTGGGCAGGACACAGCTCTAGTGCCATGCTCAGTGAGGAGCCAGGTGCCCTGCCAGTGGGGCCCAGAACCACCCCCTCTCCCAGAGTGCCAAGGTGGGGACTCCCCACCCAGGGCTGGTACCTCGGGCTCGTTGGTGGCCGGGCGCTTGAAGGCCGGGCTAGGCACCGGCTGCCGCTGCAGGTGGGCTCGGAGCTCCCGCGCCCCCTCAGGGGTCAGCACGGCTGCAGCTGCAGCGCGGCACGGCGCCAGCTGGCTCATGCTCCGGAACCAGCTGCCCAGCAGCCCCAGGTTGTCTGCAAGGGAGGGGCAGGGGGGTCAGCTCTGATCACGCAGCTGCCCCCCCCCAACCTCTCAGCCCCCACCCACCACCAAACCCCGCTACCTGGCAGGCAGGAGCCATCCTGGAACAGCGGGAACAGGGCCCCCCACACGACCACGTCGGCCACTGACTCCGCATCCTGGCAGGGAAAGTGGGGAGCGTCACAGGGCAGCGAGAGCCAGGGGATGGGGGTCATGGCAGTGACATCACAGGGCACATCGAGGATGTCATGGGGTGTCAGCTGACATTGTGGGGGGTATTCTAATAACATCATGGGGGGCAAGATGGCAATGCCACGGTGCTCTGGTGCCACCACAGCCCAGGGCCCCTTCCCAAGGGGCACAGCCACTATGCACACTCTGTGGCACCCAGACCTCACCCCCCCACCCCTCCCACCTGCCTCAGTTTCCTCGCCCCGCTCACCCCAGTGAGGTAGGTCGTGCCACGCTGGGCCAGGCCCTGGTCCACATGAGCCAGCGCCTCTCGCACGGGCGCAAGCGCCTCCTCTCCCGACTTCCCCTGCACCAGCTGCAGATACAGGGCGGCCGAGACAGCCGGCTGGGGGGACACAGACCAGGGTGGGGGAATGAGGGTGGGCAGGGCTGCAGCCGGGGAGAGGCCCATGCCCCCCACACTGGCCCCACCCCCACCTGCAGCTCTGTGGCCTCCCACTCCAGCCACTGGTTGGCCACGTCATCCTGCTCCTTCCCAGAGAGGAGGAAAAAATACCTGTGGGTGCAGCACAGCAGGGGTGAGCGCGGCCCCCATCCCCCAAAAGACCCAGGAGTCCAAGCCCCCTCCCCCCCCAACCTGATGCCCCTCACCGGCAAATGGCGTTGGGTGAGAAGAGGACGGCGCCGCTGTCCAGCTGCAGGGCCGGCAGGCACGGCTGCGTCAGGAACGGAACCACGTGCTCTGTGGGGGGCCAGCGCCAGGCAGTGAGGGGGGGCCTATGGGCAGGGCCCAACCCAGAGACATGGGGGGTGCGTCTGAAGGGTGCTGGGGAGGGGGGCGGGGGGGG